ACTGACGAGTAATCAGACTGACGAGTAATCAGACTGACGAGTAATCAGACTGACGAGTAATCAGACTGGCGAGTAATCAGACTGACGAGTAATCGGACTGACGAGTAATCGGACTGACGAGTAATCGGACTGACGAGTCTACGCTAGCTCCTAAACCGTTAATTCGATATGCTCCAAAATTGATATTCCCAAATCGGTCTTCTTGCTATCACGGCCCTTAGATTTTTAATTTTTATGCGGTCGCTCAGGCTATTTTGGAGTATTTTGAATACCTCCTCGGCTACCTTAATCGCATCTGTATTCGCGCTTGAATAACTCCTCTAATAAAAATCTAACCCATGCGACAGTAATACCACCAAATTCCAATAAGTAAAACTCAATAATAAAGCAAAAACGTGTAGTATTGACTGTATTTGTGTTATACGTTAAAATTTATTGTACGTAACGCGAGAATTAGTTGGTGTTGCGGACTGTGCATAGCTATGTTTGGGGCCAATTTTGTAACGAAGGAAGGACGCGAAGGATTAGAAAATTTGATAAGCCGTGCACATACCGTGGGGAATGAGGTTCAGAGTCTACTGTGTCGACTAATTGGATTCTAGAATATTCTATAGATCAGTTTCGAATATTTTCTTCTTAATCTATAAGATTCAATAAATATATAGGATATAAAAATATTTCCATTATTGTAACAATTTATAGATTTTAACTTCTTTTATTTATTATATTTTCAATTTAATTTGTTAATATGGTAATGTTTTAATATAAGACTAAAGAAAGAAATTATTTCAGAAATAGTTGAAGGATTTTAAAAATAAATATCAGCATGTCGTAACACTAAACTATGCCCCCCTTACTCCTATGTAACGCAACGTAACGCTTCCTCAAATCCCTGCACTCTCTTCAGGGTTACGTTATTTATGGTCGACCCCTATTTTAATTTTGGGGGATATTTTATATAAAGACCTTGAGACCTTTTTAAAAAAAACTACACAATTATTTTTATTAAAATTTGATGTCGGATAGCAGTAAGAGAATGTTGCAGGTCCCAATTTTGGTAAAAACTCTTAATTTTTCCAAAATTGAAAAAGTTAAATATTTTTCGGCATCTTTCTTCAACGAAATATTCAAAAGATTTTTTTTCTTTAGCGAATTCCGTCTGTGAAGACAGATTTAGAATTAAGGTCGCGTACATTTTTTCGAAAATTTGAGTATTTTCCGCGTAACTATCTTCTGATATGTATGCTGTTTTTTTAAAAAATTTCTAAACAATATTTTTCCTTTAAAACGGCACCCTATTTTTTATTATATTTTGACCTCGGGTATGGTAAAGAGAGCAGAAGCGGAAGATTAAAGAGAATGGTGCAGCTGTTATTTCCATTTAAATTCCAAAATAATCGAAAATTCCAAAACTTTAAAACTTTTTTGGAGTCTTCTTACAACTACAATTATGAAGTTGCGTTTTTTTTAATGAAACGAGTTTATCGAAAAAAGATCTTGAGATAAGGTCAAGTTCACTTTGTCGAAAATATTGAATTTATTGTAGTTTTGTATTAAAAACGTGTATTGTATTACAATAAAGTATTTTTGCGTAATTTTACATGAAACAGAATTTTTTTAAATTTTATCTAATTATTTTCTCAAAAACGGCTAGAATTCTTTCTTTAATTTTATGTAGCAAAGAACGGTAAAGAATGTGACGCTAGTCCCATTTTTGGTAAAAATCTCTGTATTTTTCGTAAACTGAAAAAGAATTGAAATGGTAAATTTGAATTTCGTGCGCTTTCAAAGGGGCGCTGTCAGTTTGCAAAACGGCAACACGGCTGTTTCAGATCAGTGTATTTGAATGTTTCTCATTATTGCCAGTGTGATGTCTGATATATGAAAGAAACACCAGGAGGGTATAAGTGACATTTTATAAATTCAGAGAAATCTGTTTATTAAAACCAATACCACTGTGAAGTCGTTGTGCTTTGTTTCATTATTAAAACCACGGGGTTTCAAATGTTCATTAAAACCACGAAAATGCATTGCCACTGACATATAGCCTAAAATAAACACGTCTTTTTTTAAAGTGTTTATAAAATGTCACTTTACACATGAATGTTTTTTCCATTCATGTATAAAATTCTTATAAAGGAAATAGATTTAAGGAAGGGGATAAATTTAACATAAAACTAACAAATACATTTCTTTTGCTTCAAGAAGTTCTAATCGCTGAATATTGAATTCCGAAATTGTTAGTTCACTTAGATGTAACCAAGGCAAGTTTTTGTGAAATATTATTCTTTCTTTTCTGTGTAATGTGCTGCAAAAAATGTAACAGTTAATTTTTTTCTTGTTTGTTTCATTTGCAGATGTTAGAAATGTCTATTGTTCCTGGCTATCGAAATAAACACAGTTATGGCCCACAGGGGCTTCGTTTGAATTGATTTAATTGGTCGATAAAATTAGTATTAGAGGGTATTCGATTAGCGTTTCGTAACATTGATATTTTTTTACATTTTAAACATTTGTAAAAACATTCCCATTTTGGAGTCTTTTATTAAAACATTATCTAATTCATTTGTATTAAAACATAAATAATTTAAAGTTATTAGTTGTAACAATAAAAGGAAACTTCTTGTCAATTCTGTATTGAATTTGTTAGATTACGAAGAAAATATTCAAAAATGATCTGTAGTATTTGTTGAAAACAAATTGACGTAGTAGACTCCCACCCATGCGCCAACCACAATGGTGCCGTGTACCCGATTTGTGATCAGACATTTCTTCGCCTCTGTGTCCTTCCTTCACTCAAACTTCCCCCCTCTCATTGTTAGGTGCAGACAACTAATTCCAACTTTAATTAACAAATTTTGAAACACAACACAAATAAAATGAATGCAATATTGTTACTGAGTACTAACGTACGTTAGGGATCGTTAATCGCGCGTTACAGGGAGAGGGGGTATTCAAAAAAAATCCAAATTTGCGTTACGTAATTTATGGAGGGAGCCTCGATGAACAACTAGAGAATACCATTAGTTCTGGATACTTTTTTACAATTTATTCAAGACGTCACATCCAAAGAGGCAATCTCATTATGCTTATACCTTCGCCTTAACAATGATTAAAATGTTTTTGTTCCTAAAATATGAGATGGGGAGAATACGAGCTGAAATTGCCAGCCCTCCTCGAAATACTCTCAGGATCCATCCACGGGAAATCCACAAGTTCTGATTTATCTCACAGGTCACGCACTTTCGCCAAGCAGCACAACATGCACTTACTTGGGTGAGGTTGACAGCACGCAGATACAGCAACGCGCCCATTTTGTTTTCGTAGTTTTGGCCATTGCTGTGAGTACCACGACGACCGTCGTAATAAGCAGCAGCCGGACTCATCACACTCTGAACACGCCCATGCGTGGCCCGGAGCACACACGCACGCCCGTCACCGAGACGGCACGCATGTACACTCGCGCAATGTTATGCAGTGTCCACAGCGAATCGCAAAAAAGAAAACGCTGAAGGAAGCTTTTGCTGCCGTTCCCAGCGGTTCGCAAGGTCGTTTCAGTCCGCGCCTCGACGCGGCGGTCTGTCTTCTGAGTCAGGCACGCCTTCTCCCCACTCCACTCTCGTTTTCCTTCCACCTACCCAAGGTGCCCATAATAGCCGAGCGCATGCATACACCATCTAGATTACGTGTAATGTAGGTAGTGTTGGCATACACCGCAAGGCGCGTATTTCAATGTTGCGGAGCGATTCAGGAAAATAATAATAAGCAAAGCTAGTTGAACTATTGTTTGGGGGCAGTATTATACTATTTAATAACAATTAGAGCGCGGAGGTTTATGATATGTCTTATTTGTTTTCTTTTCTTAGTGTTATTTCCATGGAAAATGTAAGAGAAGCATTATTTCATCTACAATTACAAAAATTATGCAATTTTAACGTGTTATATAGTCATATTTTGGATTTTATTAACCCATTGGTCATTTATCGTTCATTTCTCAAATTATAGGAATAAATTTCCATGATTTTTTGTAGTTTTTTTACTCATATTTTCGCATACTTGCTTGCAGCTGCCTCTTAAGATATTTTTCTTATCTCCTAATTGTTATCTAATTTGTTACAAATGTTGAATGCTATTGTTTATCTTTCCTATAAATACATATGCATGTGAATTAGGAGGATAAGCTATATAGAAGAAGAAAAAGAAAGCACTAGATGCGAAGTGTTAGTTCAGTTTTGTCAGGTTTTGTACCAAGGCCAACTGCTTCTATAAAATTTATTTAATAACTTAAGCAAGCAGAATTGTCTTCACAGGGCGCCAAAGGAGAAGGGGTAAATAATGAATGTGAAGGTTTTAAAAGTATATTTTCAATATAATATTTAAACAGCAGAGAGATTTTGAAAGTATCAAAACAGCAACCAAACATTTTTAACTCATATTTATGGTAATTTTTCTAAAGTCATAAATGCTTGCATATTTCTAACATTTTTAGGTCATAAACATCTGGGCTCTAATAATAACTATAGGCCATGTAACATTACTGCTAATTCCCTGAATGAGTGCGTGAACAATAATTATTTATGTACAATATATTGCAGTCTCAAGAGCACATTGTGCATAACAGCCTCTTATACCATGTTGACATATCTCAAATCTTATTATTCTTGTTTTGTTTTTCCATAATTGAGAAAAAAACTTTAAAACACTGGGTATAAAATTTGATTCAGACTTCCACCAGTTCAATATTTTATTTCAATATATTATTTCAAAGATTGTGTTTAAGATCAAAGTCTGTAACTCAGTTGGACTTCCCTTCACACACTAGTAAGTAAAGATTAGCAATAATTCAAAATTATTATTGATAAGTACACCAGGAATATAAGTTCATTGAATGTTCATTTCCAACACGTGATGCCTTTGAGACATGCTTTTAAAAATTCTTCGACCTGTTTATTTGTTTTTTCCCCCAATTCATTTTCCCTAAATATGTTTTAATGATATGACTTTTATGAAAGATTAATTTGGCCAGAAATGAAAATTAAATCATGAAAGACAAAACACTTTTTATATTTTATATTCAAAATAAGAAAAAAATGGTCAAATCATGATAACTGTATTATTTTTTTTTATCATGAACTGATCAGAAATTAGGCTTTACAGCCCGTTTCTATTGGTTTATTAAAGTATTCTTGGTAGATTATTAGTCTCCCAAGTTGCCACCTCTTTAAGTGGTCTGCCTCTATCTCTGATCCCTATTGGTTTGTACTTCCAGATTAATTTTGGAAATCTCTTGTTGTTCATTCTCGGTAAATGATCTTTCCATCTCCTTTGAGACTGTTTTATCTCTTATACTAAACATTTGGTTTTCAATTTCTTTCTGGTGTCTTTATTTCTGTGTCTCTTCTTGTGATTCACATAATAACTTAGAAATCTCATATGTGCCTCATGAAGCTTTGTCTTTCTCTTTCATTACCCGTGTTTCAGAGCCATATATGATTCTAGGTTTAGCAGCTATATTGTGGAGTTTGTTTTGTTTCCGGGTCCATGTCTCTGTCAAAGTGTTTCTTAAATGTTTCACATATTCTATTGTAGGTATTAAGTTTGTTTTCTTTCTGTTCCCGAGTTTGGTTGAATACACTTATGATATTTCCAAGGTATGAAAATTTATTTTCTTGTTCCACTAATTTTCCATTTATTACTATTTTGGCTCTCCTTTGTCCCTTGCCTTGTACTGCCACAACTTTTGTTTTCATTGAATATTCTTGTGCCACTTTTGTCAATTCAAAAACTGCTCTTTGTAAATTATCTTCAAAATCCATTATGTCAGTTTGGTCATCAGCATACATGATTGTATCTATCTTCTTGTCGTTTGTGATCTGTATTCCTTGTCTAACTTTCATTCTACAGTTTCTTACTAATGTATGTATGTTGAAGAGGATGGGTATTAATCCACATCCTTGCCTTAAGCCACTGTTGGTTGTTAATGTTGCTGACTTTTTCTCTCTCTCAACAGTATTTTAATAATTGAGTTCTTGTAGAGACTGTATTGCATTGAGAAACTGATTTGAAACTTTCTCCTCTTCTAGTATTTTCCAGGGCTTCTGTCAATTAACTTTGCCGTAAGCCTTTTCATATTCAATAAATATGTTTTTGAATTTGAATGGGCTTTCATTCTGTGTAAAGAATTATGAGGACAAGTCTTGTCCTTATAATTCTTTACACAGAATGAAAGCTAATGCTAATACAATTGAAGCATCAAGTGACAAAAGGGAGCTAACCCACAAAAAAGTTTAATTTATGAAAATATTTGATTATGAACTGATTGAATTTGTCAATAAATTGATTGTTTTGAGTTTCTTGGGTTAGCAACATCTCACTGGATACCTCAACTAACAGGATTAATATCACTGGGTAGGGAATTCCACACATGATCCGTTGAACATATTAAAAGTATGCCTTTAAGAAAATATATTGTTTTATTACATTCCATAATTTCACTTAGTGAACACTTTTAATAATAGTAATTTTCTGAAATATTTTCTACAGAAAGGTACAAAAAGAACAAATGGTAATTTTTCATACTAGCTTAGCAATAAGTACAAAATAGTCTCTAATCAAACTTCACAATAACACATCAAAAGTTCATACCCTACACCTTAATAAAATTTCCAAACAACAATTCGATAAATCTAAGACAAGAAAAGTTGAAGAGTGCAACTATTTAAAATATTTAAGTCTTCTTTGTATAAATTTTGGTTGTCAGAAAACTCCATGTCAGTGCCACAGGCACACTCCATTTAGAATCACAAGAAGAATTGTTCTTATTCTAAGGTTTATAACCAATTTTAATTTCTCTCAAACTGGAAGCCCTGAAAAACATGGTTTAACTTATATAATTCATTTGTTCAAAGTCTGACCGTTCATTGAATAAACTAATGAAACACGTCCTTTTATCTGTTAAACAATTAAACTGCTCATATACCAAAAAGGAATGCTGCGCAGACTCAAAATAGGTTTCCATATTTTCTATAAATTGTCTTAAACTAACACTTCATTCACGGAATAAAACAAAAATTTACCCTAACAAAATATACACGGAAATATTTTTAACGTTACATTTTCACAATTTTGCCCTCAATTAAAACTCTAGTTCATTGCTTTGCTTTGGAAATACTGATCATTTAGATATCGTATAAAATTACAAATACATCTACGATATATTTTGTACTCTTCTTAGAACAAGTTTCTCAAATTCTTCTGAATTAGAAAGACCACTCAAATTATGAAATCTTTCTTAGCATCTCAAAACTATTCTAATTTTGTAAATGTTGCTGTACTCATCAGAATAGTATAATAATAACTCATTATTTTTCATGAAGACCTGATTTAAAATATTTCTCATTCCTCATTTTTTAAATGTTGAAGTCATGAGAATAGTATAATAATATCCTATTTTTGTGAGAACAGTATAAAAATAATATTTTATATTATGAAGAGTAATATCTTGATTAAACTTTTTATTTCAAAGCTTTCTTCTTTACTATTTCTTAAAAAGAAAACCTTATTCATCATAGTATGACTCCATTTAGGAAGGAATAATGTGTATTCACTTAATAAGTACTCCATTTTATAAAAATCAATCTTCAATTACATTTTATAGTGAATTAACAAAATTTGACATTCAAGAGAATGTTATTTTTCTTAAAAATTTCACAAGAAAGAACAATCAACACTTTCCACATATCACTCCTTTTCAATTTTGAACAGTCCAAATGATTTTAACAGAGAGTAAAAATAAAGAGTAACAATTAAATTCACCGAAATAGTAAATTAAATATTTACACAAGTTCTTTAACTGCATTGCCATTATATACATTTTTATTAACATTATGCATAAAATATTCTTTCCTTTATTTACAACCTTCAGAAGACATATTATCAAGATAAGAACTTAATAAAATCACTTTTAACTTCCCCGGGTGATATACAGTAGTATTTTAAATTCAAAGAAAAAAGAAAAATAACAATAAGAAAAAAATGAGAATAACAAAATTAAGATGAGTATCACAAGTTAAAAAGCATTGCAATGAGAAACAGGCATAATAGTAAGAAACACAATACTTCTAATTAATTTTTAAATGGTTTGGTAAAATAGGCAGATGCAGGAGGAACAAAAGGCCTGGGAAGAGGTGGTTTCACAGGATTTTTTGTAACAGGATTTTTAGTTGCAGGATTTTTAATTGCAGGATTGTCATTCAAGCCTTTGGACTCAACTGATGTGATAATGGGTGCTGTTCTAGGTCTACCGTCTCCAGTTGTATTGGAAGATGGTGGTTTGCTGTTGAAAAGAAAATTAAATGAAATTACTAATGAATAAAAACAACAAAAATTCAAAGTACAAAACCAAAACAAATAAAAACATCATACAAGAACAAAACATGTATTTTTTTTAGCAAGGTGAAAAAACTAGAACCTGGAAGTTCAGGAATATATTTTACCGAAAATGGGCAGACAAAAAGGCATTTATTTTTACTAAAATAAGCATGCAAAAATGCATTTATTCTGACTAAAGTACAGGGTAAAAAAACAGGAAACATTAACAAATCACCATTAAAAAGTAATTAGTGTAAGAAATTAATAATTAAAATGATTCACATTTCTATTCTAGCTCTAAAATTTACATTAGCCCTCACGTGGAAGGAAACTACTTTTTTTTCTATTCTTGATTGCACATGACCATCCAGTATGACAACTATGAATTCATTTTACTGGCAATGCTATCTCTACAAAATTATTTTGTGGACTCCCTTTCAAATCTTGAAATGTTATCAGTGTTAACGGAATTGTTGATTTCATTCTTCGCACTTCTGTAATTGCCAGAAGGGAAAGAGAACAAGAAGAAACTGAGAAGGGTATAATCATGTAGAGGCAACTCTGTCCTCAAAAGGGATCCAAGGCCATACAGAAACATGATGAGATTGTGTAGAGATGGTGTAGTGGTCAGAATGCTCGCCTTCCACCACTGGTGCCCGGGTTTTCTCAGGGTACTCCAGTTTCCCCTGCCTATAAGCATTTCACAGGATCGCTCAATCAATCATTCCCTACCCTATCTTGTCATTAAACATCATTCCACTAAGGAGGTATGGATCACAGCAGTGCCTTGGTGATAGCCAAGAAGCACTCAGAAAGGGCTGCAGCTACCTCAGCGAGTTATTGTCAGGTAGGGTCCCAGCCCGGAGAAGTGAAGAAGGGAAATGGTGAGGAAATGGGTGACACCACCTCCCAAGACTCTAGGATGGTAAGCAGAGAGTAGGTGTAATGCCAGGTGAGGAGAAGGGTACAGCTTGAAGTTGGCCACTCAAGGCGAAAAACAGTTGAAAACAACCTGACACTGGAGCCTCCATAGCCACAGAAAGGCAATAATGGACTATGTGTTCATGTTGTTCAGGCTTGCAGGTATAATTTTAGCTTGACAGAGATTGGTGCCAGGAGAGAAACCAGGAAAAATTATGATAAAAAAGGTACAAAGAAAGCAAAATGCCAATAAGTGGCATCAGAAGCTAAAATAGGCAAAATGAAAATCTACTATAACAACTCCCCAAGTACAATTACATGATTCTTATTGTTAAAAGTCATAAAATTGTAAAAATAATAAAGTCATTATAGAAAACTTTCAACTCTACTCATAACTCATATAAATTCTTTATTTTAAAATCGTTTTTCTTTTTAATATGAAATGTAGTTATGATTAAGGTTGATTATATGTTTAATTTAATTATGACATGTGTTTGTGATGTATTATTGCTCATTAATATCATGTTTGGCAAAAAATTAGTGTAATGAAACAAACATTATAATTTTTAATTAATGTTTGGTAATTAGTAATTAAAACCATGCTCTCGTTATAACAAAGTAAAGAAATCAATAGTAGCAGATGCTCTTGTAATGGCAGGCCACTTGAAAATAATCACGAAAATTCATAATTTCTCGTATCTGGCAATTTTGGGATAAAATCAGTGTTTCATGGTTTTAAATGAATTCAAATGTGCTTTAGGCACATCTACTAAGTGATCAGAAGATGAAAAAATTTTGTTTTAAGAATAGAGAACTTGAGATGAAGTAACAGAAGAGCTATAATCATCACAAAAGCAACATAAAAATCTTAGCATTTGATAATCAGTAAAAGGAAACTGTCAAATGTACACCTCCGCTTCTGCAGCCCATAATTTCTTGGCTGGCGAGGTAACGCTGTCACTCGCTGGGAGGCCGACGTTTCACCTGTAATTTCACAGGCTTCCTCATGGCAGTGATGCAGGTCAATGGCGAAGACAGATTACATGTTGGCCTCTCAGCCAAAGACCCAGCAACAACCACACAACCAAGAAGTCAAGGAAACTGTCAGTTTTGCAATGATACTGATGATTTGGAAATTTTTTTTAAAAAAAGGAAAGATTTAAATAAATGAACTTTTTTCTTAAATTTCATTTAGTAGTCAGAATTCCTATTGCAACCTGGGATTCTACTCTTAGCAGTGTTAAAAAGAAAATATTTTGACTAATCCACTCATGAAATTTCAGCTAACAGCATGCAAGAATTGGGACCATGCAAACCAATCACTACTTACTCATGCAAAATTATCAGTTATTGATTATGATTAGCTGATTTTTATACTACATGGTCTCTTGTGCATCTATCATTGTCAGCTGTTTGGTAGCCAGATGTTAGAAATATCTGAATAAATGTTAATTATTTATAGGCATGTTATGTTAAAATTTATCTTAAATTTATGAAATTAGATTCATGAAATTAGATTCATGAAATAGGCTTAATAAATCCCACACATGCTTTCGAAATCTCAGATAAATTCACTCCTAACAAGTTGTAAATTTTTCAAAACATTTTCAAAGTGCTCATAGGATTACCTATGATAACCACTGAGGCCACTAATAGACCCAATACAGTATTTAAATTTTTATTCATGAAAATACATTCATCTTTTCTTTTTGAATTTTGCTCTTTCACATTTCTTTTAAAAATAGGGAAAAAGAAAAGAAAAATTTGCAATTACAGCGAATGTTTTAGAAAATACATCATAACACAGCTAAGCCCCATTAATTACTTTCCACTACCTGGGGCAATATTGATGATGTAACCCCCTTCCTCTTAATTTGAGTTTAAATATGTATATTATAGAAACTATGCAAGTATTAATTCAATTACTATACCTGTTATTCAATAACAAGGTTACCTCTGGCTTACTGTGCAAAAAACATATCTCTGACAGAAATGTCAATTCAACAGTGCGGCAGCAGTGACAATTATTATATAAATATTTTTTATTAAAAAACAAAATATGCAATGAAATACTTGCATTAGTATAATACTGGTAACCACCATTTTTTCCTTCCTAAAAAGAGGGTTCATGTAATTTGAGATCAGATAAATTCAAAAGCAGAGCTCACATTTTGAATGTATGATTTACTTTAATTTTTATGTCCACAGACAATATCAGCAGCTACCTCAGAAAAGTAGCGGTGAGAGTAATAGGGAAAAAGTTTGCTCTGCACCTGGTGATGTTCTCAATCTGATACCTGTTGTAAAGCTTTAGAGTCTCATGGCTATGAGGTACTTGTGTATCACTTTCTCAGTAAGGAACAAAAGTGATCCATTAGACCAAAAACATTTGTGACCTGTTGATCAGCTATTGAGAATGACCAACTTACTTTAAATGCAGGTTTTATACAAAAGTAAATACCACTAAATCAGGAATGGAAATGCACTGTTCTCAATGTGAAATTTTCAGGACCAGAAATATTTCACCTGAAATGCTGCTTTACCTTAAAATGAGATTCAAGTAAATTTGGGGCTTCACTGTATTTATGTTTAAAATATTACAAACTCATTGTATGATGCAATAATTTATGTATCATTTTTGAACAAACATTTCAAAGAGTCAAAATAGTACTGAACTATTGTTCAAAATTCTTTCCTATCTTTCTGAATGTTTTCAAGTTCTTAAAGCTGCAAACTTTGAAGTATCAAGACTCATGAAGTTATAGAGTAATAAAATTTTAAAATTTATTTGAAATAAGGAAGTTATCTTTTCGAGGAGGTTATGAACTCAAAATAGCCAAATTTTGAGATATGTATTGTTAAAATTTAGCTATCAAAATTAAAATGTATAATGATTGATGAATTATAATTTAAACAATAATAAATTATAATAATACTATGATGAAAGTTTTCAATAGGTATCGTCCAGGGGAGACCAGCTCCTCTGCCTCTCTGCTACCAGACAACTCACCTAAAAATGCCTTGAGGCATGACAGGTGGGCGGGGCCGATCATTTTTGTCCTGTTGAGATAGTGTGTGCTGTATCTGCCCTCGCAAATCACTGATTGGCCTTGGAATATGGATAGGATCCTGTGTGACTGACTGTTGGCCTCGAATTTCCTGAGGAGAAAATGTCATTTTTCAGAAATCTGAAATGACCATAGAACTTTCCACAAGGTAAATTAATAAATTGCATAGGTGTCAAAATTAGATGCTTTAGAGATCAATGTTTAGAGAACGAGAGTCAAAGTTCCATTTTCTCTATATGTACGGTTTAGGTGTCATAATAATGGCAAAAAAAAATGAATTCCATGATATACATTAACTCCCATCATTATTCATTTTAGCTTGTTAACAAAGAAACAGTAACTCTAACATAGCAACAAAGGGTGTGGAAATTTTTGCATTCCTTCTGTAAAGATTGTTTTTATAAGTTGCGTCCCTTGACCTCTAAGGCCCAGGTATATTTTGAGAATAAATAAATAAATTAAAAAAAAAAAAAACCTAAAAGTCCTTTTGTAATTAAGCTATATCAGAAAATCTAGTGCATTTTAAGAATTACGCAATAAAAAATATATATCACATTTTTTAACCCATGTGGTTAACGTCCACCGTCCAATTCTAGAAGTAAATAATGGTCCTACCAATCCTAATTTAACAGTTTATTAACTGGCAAAACCTCTAAAGACTACAAGGTAAACTATAAATACACCAACATACATTGTTCATAGATATGAACAATAACAATAATAAATAAAAAGAAATTTCAGGTTCTTCAACATGGTAAATAATAGAATAAATTGACAGCTCTTACATGAGGAGTTCTGATCCACCCTCTCGGGTCAATAGGTGTTGAGGTGCTATACTGAGGAGGAGTGGAAGAAGTAGAGTTTTTCTTCTGTTGTTGTTGTTGCTGCAGCTCATTTAGTCTTCTATTCAACCAGGAAATTACTGTTAAACAGAAAAAACAACAACAAATATTACAGTTAACAGAACCACAAAAGGTATCTTGTAATTCTTGAGGTTTTCAGACAGAATATGTCACCTCTTCCCATGCAGTTTTCAGACAGAATATGTCACCTCCTCCCATGCAGTTGCTCATAATTCTATGGGTCAACCTGTGATCAACACACATAATGTTGCCTACAAAAGATGCCTGAGGTTGAAAAGACAACAAGCAACAGGAACAGTTTAATAAAATGTTTTGGATTCGTTCATGAAAAAGTAAATTCTATTGAACTATTTATTCTTCTGTAAATTGAAAATTTAAATACCACGAAATACCAAGAAAGCATCATTTGTAAAATTGGGTATTTATTATTTGAATGAAGTTTAATAGCAGTTAGCATATTTATACTAAAAAGGAGCATATTCCATATCAGAATTCCCAAAGAAAAGCAATGAAAAGATGAAAGTACAAAATTAGCATACCATTATTATTGTTTTGTAAAGTTTTCTCCCTTTCTTCAAGTTTCTGACTTGTTACTGCAAGGGTTTCTCTCAGCTCCTTCTCAGTTTCTTCATTCTTCTTACACTGTTCCTCTAGTTTCTTGATTTCATTTCTCAATTCACTTACTTCACCTTCTTTCCTTTCAATCACTTTTTCTTGTTCAATGGATATCTTTGTCCTAAGTTTGAGCTAAAGGGATAATAATTAATAGTATTACATGAACATTAAAAGTGCAACAACTGTTCAATTTATGTGCTTTTGTTTTTCTAGAAAAAAATTAATGTAGATATCCAGGACACAGGATTTTCTAGCATAAATAGTAGAATATGTTTAGAATATCAATACAAGTTTAAATTTCTTAAGCTATCTCGTACACTTTGGCTACAGCAAAGCAATACCAAGAATGAATACCAAGAATCTGAATAGAAACCAAAAATGGACAAACAAGAAAACATATTCAAGGAGTCATCAATAAATTATGTAAATTCTAAAGAGGGGGGCGTGTTTGAGGCAGCATGTTGATGTGCGACATTGGGGTGGAGTCAGTGTAATATTATGTAAGGCTCATATTTATTAACATTTTTTCAACATTTGCTGAAATAATTCCTTGTATTCAGTCTCGTACTAAAACATTACAATTTTAACAAATTAAATTAAAAAATATAAATAAATAAAAAGTTATTGTATATAAATTGTAGCAATAAATGGAAATATTTTTTCATCGATGGCACATTGATTGAATCTGTTAGATAAAGAAGAAAATATTCCAAACTGATTTATATTCCAGAATCCAATTAAATTGGCGCAAAAGACCTGCACTTGCATCATCCATGATGGCTTATACATGGTTGTAAGACATTTTTTAGCCTACACATCCTTCATCTAAAAATTGTCACAAATCATAAATTTTATTATACAGGCTGAGTTGCATAACTTTAGCACCTCCTGTAATTTTTGAACAGTTGAAGTTATTACAAAGCAGTTTTCACGGGAAGTGGATGAGGGAATGAGAATAAATTGAAGTAAATATTCATTTCCATTTTACCACTTGCATTTTAAGAGTTATTGACGTAACTTTGTTTTTTTCGCATGGGACTAAACATATTTTTTTAGTCTATCATGATAAGCTAAAAAATACGAATCCAATGATATCCATATTTTCATGTGTTGGATAAATTTTTTTTGAATAATTCTGATTTATTGGCAACCCATATTTAACGGAGATTTTGAAAGTAACAGTCCACCACCCAACGTTATATGCGGCTCTCCCTGCCAACACATGCTTGGGGCGTTACAGTATCTATTTAACATGAGTTGCAAAATGTCGAAATTACTCAAAAAATATGAATCTAACATATGAAAATATGTATAGTTCCATTTGAAAGAAACAACAAAAAGTTATCTCAATATCTTATAAAATACAAGTGATAAAATGAAAATGAATATACAGGTGAGCCGTGTAACTTTAGCACCTCCTATAACTTTTGAACGGTTAAAGTTATGCACTTCCGTGAAAACTGCATTGCAATAAGGAAATGGGGCTAATTGATATGTGTATTTATTTCTATCTTATCAATTGTATTTTATGTAACTTTGTTTTTTCAAGTGGAACTATACATATTTTTTCAGCCTACCATGACAAGCCTAAAAAGACGAATCCAATACATACATATTGTCATATACAAAGTCTTTAGCTTAACTTGCAACCCATGTCTGGAAACACCACCTCTTGTTTTGGCAATGCATGAAATACCTTTTGCATCCCTTTCACTCTTAGTGATCCACAGCCATGTACCCTCAGATTTCAGAGTGAGAGAATGTGCCAAATTGTAGTTGGAAGAAAGAGAAAGCACTTATTCTCTCCCTGTTAGTCTTCAACGTACAGAATCCACTACACTAAAAAGAGTAAACGCCTGTCTCTTGGCAACTGGTGGTCATGTTAAGCACTTACTTGATGGTCAGTTTTTTGTCATTTTAAGGAAATTATATTTTATTATTTTTTATTAATTATTTTCAATAATTATTAATTTACTACTGATATATGTTATATTTTTAATCATTTTATTAAGGCTTTATTATTTGCTTAATAATCAGATTCAATAATAATAATAATAATAATACATTGTTATAAATAATGATGACCTTGGTGGTAATGTTTCACAACATATCTTTCTGATTTCTCTTTGAGCCAACTTTCATTAAATTATTATTGTCATTACGTTGCTGTTAATAAATTGATAAACACTCATAACTACCCTCCATATCTTCAGGATTACAGGTTTGTTTCTTAAGCATACTGCACAGAATCACCTAAAGAGATGTTTTGTGTCTTGCTCATGTCTCTGTTCATCCCTCCCCAACCCACCTACTCTGTGCTGCCTGAAAAACTTGCAGTGTGCATGTGAACTGCATACCTGCCTGCCTAAGCTCTTGAATGGGGAGAACACAGAAACAGGAAAGTTGCTGCAGCTTATGACCTGACGTTCGCCTTCTCTGCTCTCTAGGCATGCGAGACACGGTTGTCTTGAATTGTGGCAAAACATGCAATAGCCAAATTGCCAAAACAAGAACAAGTGCTCTCGGACATGGGTTGCAAGTTAAGCTAAAGACCCTGTACATATTGTCATATGTTAGATGAGCACTGTTTTGAGTAATTTTTGAGTGTTTTTGGAACTGGTACCTATAAGATATTTTGGATATAACAGACCACCACACAAGGTCACACTCCCTCTGTTAGTGCACGCTTGGGGAAGGTATCTTAGTATTTGAAGATATGAAACATATTCCAAATATTTACAAAACTGTTGCAGTTGTTTTCATTAACTATGCTTTCCATCCTTCCCCATTTTCATATTTTTTGTGTAACTTCAGGATCGAAAATACGGATTTATCATAAGTATTTATCAATTTCATTTAAGATTTATCAACTTCATTTAAAGGAGTGTTATACCTCAGGCTATTAATGAGATCTTGAAACTAAACACAATAAGAAGAAATTATAAAGATTGTAAACAGAATACTGCATATTTTCAGCAAATAGTTTTGCAGGAAGATAAGATAACTAAAATAAAAATATAGTGCAAGAATACTAAATAAAGGTACATTACAACAATACTAGTCAAATTACTTTAGCATGTGTTCATAACATTCACCATCCACAAAGATATCTGCTGGCATTTTTCAAAAGATTTCTTAACTGCAAGGAGTGTTTCTTTTTTAACTTCAGAACATGAAGTTACAATGATTCTACGCATATCTTGTGATGTAGATGGGAGTCTCATGGTACACATGGTTTTTAAGAAAACCCCAGAGAAAAAATCTAGTAGGGAACACATGGGCCAATGTACAGTACCACAATGTCCTATCCAATGGCTTGGGATCCCATTAATATCCTATGGTATGACACCCATTTATATGAAGTTGAAATAATAATCTTATTTCAATACATATAATAAATCCATACTTTCAATCTTTAAGTAATACAAACAATATAAAAATGCGGAAGGATGGAAAGCAGAGTTTAGGAAAAAAATCTGCAACAGTTTTATAAATATTGGGAATATGTTTCATATCTTCAAATACTAAGATACCTTCCCTTCCCCAAGCGTATACTAGCAGGGCAAGTGCTGCATGACCTTGTGTGGCAGACTGTTACAATCAAAATACCCGTTAAACACTAGTTGCAAAAAAAAATTAATTACTCAAAAAATGCTCATCTATCGTATGACAATATGTGTATCATTGGATTTGTCATTTTATGCTCAACATGATACACTGAAAAAATATGTACAGTTCCATTAAAAAAAACAAAACAAATATCTCATAAACTACAAGTGATAAAATAGAAATGAAGACACGTATCACTTAGCCCCATTCCCTCATCCACTTCTGTGAAAACTGCATTGCAATAATTTCAACCATACAAAAGTTATAGGAGGTGGTCAAGTTAAGTGACTCACCCTGCATACATCTATTAGCCCCATTCCCTTGAGTATTTCCATGAAAACAGAATTGCAATTACTTCAACCATTCAAAAATTGCATGAGGTGTTAAAGTTATGCAACTCACCTGTAAAACACAAATAAAACTAATACAACTCATATTATAATTACAGTGTTTTTGCTTATTGCAAATTGGGTAGGAGGGGTATTGTCACATACCGTAGTATGTATCTACTTACTTAGGAACATTACATGTATGTAATTACTTCGGAATATTCACATGCACCATGTGTTAGAGTGGGAAGGGGATATTCAAAATACTCTAAATTTGCCTTACTAATTTATGGATGACCCTTACGAAAGTGATAAAAAAAATATACAAAACTTCAATTTTAATCTTTTAGAGCTTTGTTCATGAAGTGAAAGAACAAATACATTCAGGACTAGACAGAAACATTACTTTTGAGCTTGTTTCAGCATGTTGCTTTTGCAGACGACCAAGAATTTCATTAGCTTTCATTAAATCTTTCGATAAAGTTTCCACTGCAGATGACTTTTTCTTCAAGACATCTTCTCTCTCTTCTATTCTGTTATCAAGATCTTTCTGAAATATTGTCATAACACAAAGAAGTGAAGGATATTTAAAAATGATACCCTCAATTTATTTTAAAATTCAGTTAAAAAAGCATTTAATCCACTAATATTTGAAAATGACTTACTTTTAAACTTGACAACTGAGCTATTTGCTCTTGGAGCTTTGTAATTATTTCAGATTTCTCTCGTAATTCCTTAAAAAAATATCATTAAAAAATAGCTGCATCCTCTTTTTAAATCAAAATAACGTTTCCAATTTCATTATACATAAATACTACCAATACTAATAATATACATAAAAGCCACCAATAATACAAAAAAAAAGTATTTGATGATAAAGAGCTCCTACCTCTTTTAACATGACATTTTGTGTTTGCAATTGACTAGATTTAATTTCTTTTTCATGATAATCTCTATCTAATTCTGCACTTTGTTTACGAGCAGCCACCAACTCATTTTGCAATAAAGCAATATCTTGTTGCCTTTTTAATAATTCTTCTTTCATTTCTCTGAGGAAGAATTATGAAAATAACTTAGCAATATAGTTATAATAGCAAATTACTTATAATAATTATAATAATAATAATTATTGTATGCAAATACATTTCTTTTGCTCTTTGTTACTTGAAAAATGACCACATATCTTTTCGGATGTAACCATTTAGGATATTCCCGATTCTTTTGCATATTTTACGATTACTGCATATTTCTGAATATTCAGTGTATTTTTTGGAAAAAAGAAAAACAACAACAGAAAATTGTAAAATTTATAACAATCAAACTCATTGAAATTTGATTTCTAGTTACCATGGTTCATAGAACAACTAACTAGACACCATAACCTTTTAGCCTCAAAACTGTTGTCAATGGATGTAGGTATAGTGTAGTTTGCTTGTATCACATGTGCAATCAAAGGATTGAATTTCAGGCAAGGGGGCATGGGTCCTAGCACTCAATGTCTCGGTCTCAAATAAAACATAATCCCAGGATGCAACATGTTTTCCTTATCTGTCAGGAATCATTTTCCAGTAAGTGAGAGCTTATGTGTGGGTGTCACTGCCCCATGTGCTTGCTGGTCGTGGGCATACCAAAGAAAGATCTCTCTAATCACATGTTATACACACTGCATTCTCACGGGCCTGCCCAATATATAAAAATATCTTCACAGACAGAGGAACCACTTTTTCAAATTCAGAAAATTCAGAATCAAATTTAGAAATATATCTTGTCATAAATTTTAATACATTTTTTACCTAAATATGGTTACACTACCAGTTTTTGAGATCTTTGTGGCCAAAAACACAAAATGCAATCATTTTTGAGATCTTTATTTAAAGAAATTTTCACTTCAGGTACTAAAAATAAAAATTGGAACTTACAAAAGTCAAAATGAACAATTCACTTGTTGAGGGAAAACTTCGTCAAAAAGTATGCAATGTTGAACATTCTTTGTTTTATTAAGTCTTTTTAACTAAATTCAACAAAAATGTGTAAAATACAGCTTACTTGCTTTTTGTATTTGCTTGACATAATTTATCAAAATTTGTTTGACTCATAGTCTTCAGTTCAGAAATCTGAGACTCTAAACTTGCAACCACTTCAGTATGACGCCTTTCCAACTCTTGTTGTTGACGTTGATGATCTCTTTGCCACTGGAGTTGTTCCTGTCAAGTCAACAATGGTATTAAAATATTTCGAAGTGTCAAGGAAAAAAAAAAAATATTATTTCAAGATAAAAAAAAAACCTTCATTAATCAAATTTCAAATAAAATGCGTAAATTAGACACAAACTCATCAAGTTGAAGAAAGACAAATATCAGATGAAAAATTATTCCTTCTGGAATACTACTATATTGATATAAGGTTGAAAATTACCTTCTTGTTAAAAATCTTAAGTTATTACAATTTCTAATTTTCAAACTTTTTTCTTCTTCTTCAGGCCATTTCATCAACAAATTAAATTATAAATATTTTTTTCATTAATTGTGCCAAGCTACAAAAATTAGATGTTACATGCAATGTCCTTACTGATTTCATTTTTGACAAAAATTTGTCATAATGATTTCTCTATGAGACAACTATGGTTCCTTTTCACACAAAAATTTACAACTACAGCAAAAAGAAATAAAAACTTTTCTAATTTAAACAAAATACCATAACATCATTAAAAATGCAAATATAAGCAAATAAATCAGCTTCTTTCATATATTACCTTACATAATTAAAAAATAATTAAATACTGAAATTATACGCATTTGAGTCAATTTAAAATTATTAACAGCAATTTTAAAAAATAGTATTAAAATGCATATTAAATCCTAATCCTTTGTTCTCTAAATCAAAAATACCACATTGGAAAACATTCATTTCAACTCTCTGGTTTTGATAAGTCATAAAACACCGGTTCTCAAAAACAGTTAACAGTAATGCCTTAAAGACATCTCATTTAATGCTACACCAAAAAATAATACAAAATTATTTTCAAACTTACACGTGAAAGTCTTTCTCTTTCTTCTCGCAATGCGTTTAGATGATCTATGTGCATGTCATTTTTTTCTTCACTCCACTTCCGCCGCATTTCTTCCAATTCAATGCACTTCTGTTTCAAATCTGATTGAATATGCATCAGCGATGATTCCAAATGAGACAAGTTCTTGTCACATCTTGATTTGTTTTCCTACGTTTTTCATATTGGCATTAAAATAAAATACATTTAAAAATCACATTGTATCAAACATTCACCATGAACAAAAAGTTTCACCACAATTAAATTTCTTATCACAGAATTGTTTAAAATTGATATATAATAAAAGCACATAATACATAAGAATGAGTTTCAAAAAGTTTTACACAAAACTTAAATTCTTCAATTGCATAAAACTGAAGTTTTTCAAGAAGTTTGCAAACCTTCAAACTTTGTATTTGATTAGCCATATATTGTTTAATTTCATCATCGCTGCCATGTCCCACACAAAGCATTAAATGACATAAATGTTTAAACTCATTTTTCTCAACAATCTGAAGAGCTCGTAACATTGGGTTACTATTATCATCTTCTAGAATAAGTACAAATCTGAAAAACAAGCAAAAAACTTCTTTGTTTCATACCTGAGGCATCCCCAAACAACAAGACATATTATTTAAAAGCAAACAAGCAAAATCCAGCATACATATCTAAATTGAAAATCATACTTTTCATTCTCCTTTCCTCCAGAACACTGCTGCAACAAGAGAGCTAACTGAGAAGGAAAATTATGGAAGTCCACTAATAATCCCTGCTGAGACTTAAGTGTTTTGAAATCATCTTCATTTAAACGAAGAATGTAGTAAAAAAAGGGGTCTTCGTCATCTGTCAACTTGAAACACAAAGCCTATAACAATAATACAATACATCATTTTGTTAATTATAAAAATTAAATTAATTAACCCTATTCTTATTACAAATTCAAAATAAATATATACATCTTTGTAATAACAATATTTTTCCTTTAAGTTAGAGACAATCAAAGATAAAATAATAAAGAAAAAATCTAATTATTATTATTATTATTATTATTATTATTATTATTATTATTATTATTGATAACCTCGGCCAATCAAATAGATAAATAAACATACGAGATTATCCGTGACAATTACAACAAACACACAAACCTTTTCTCTCACTGGAGTGACACCAGTTACTATTTCTAATGTAAGTCTCACATCTTTACGCAGTTCATCTCTTCCTTTTTTCCTACAATACACATTTTGAACTTTGGAGTATAGTGTTTCTGACTGTTTATTGGTTTTCGTTTTCTCGTATTCCATCCTCATTTTTCACATTTTTCTACTACAAAATCACCAAAGAACTTGAGGCACCCAGAGGAAAGATGTCATTTTCACGTACAATGACGCCTGCTTGCATTACACATTGAATATACATACTTCATTTTCATATCAATCTCATACAATGTTCCTACAGTCCCAAACCCTTTTTCACACCAGTAACACACTTCTTTTAAGTTCTTGATTTTCAAGCACAGTGCATTCTGGCGCTTGTTGACACCACGATGTTGACACTTTGCGATTGATTCGTTCAAGGACGAATTTTAGATTCGTTCGGTAATTTGAATCATACCACGGCATACAAGCATATACTCTTGACCGTGCTCACTATGTAAGAGAATACACGAAATGTCTTACACAGTGACTGTGCGCGTACCAACGAAACTGTAGTTTCCAGGGTCTCTCAGCCCCTGACAGTTAAACCACAATCTAATACACAGTAGCGCAGATCAGCCAGCTTTCTGGCTATTTAAAGATGCACGCGCATACAGTTACCTATCCTGGAGGGGACCAAGTAAAACTACGGAGAGTTGCTAATGAAGTATCAGGTGAAACTACGGATTTGTTTATGAAATTGCGTTCATTAAGAGCTAGTTAAACAATAATTCGTGTTGTATCTTGACCAGTGGTTTTAAATTCCTAGGATATCAAGGATAACACGTAAAATTACATAAAAACCAAAGTTTTAACCTTACATGTATCGAGACATTTGATATGCAACAATTGAATTCTTATACTTTTCCGGTTTACACATCAGTAACAAAGTGTGTGTCGAAAGGCGCGCACTGTTATGTAATTAAATGCAGCAGTAATAATGGAAAAAACCCTGAATTATGTTTATTCTATTTTTTTACTTTTTTCAAAGGACCTAGAAAGGAAAGACGGAAAGTTGTTCAAATTCACAACAGAAATGTTATTACCGCCTAGATTCTACTACCGTCTAGATTTACTACTAAGTATACTTGTCCCTCATGATTCCACTATTCGCATTCAATAGACAACATTCATTACATTTAAATAATTTACTTCCTTGAAATTTATTCAAAATTTCTATGTCACATATTGTTCTATTAGCACAATCTGCATGCATAAAAAAATTAAATGATATCAAAAAATTAACTTTTCAGTCAGATTTAGCAGAACAGCACCGAACGGCATAATGTTCCTTTGTCTCAGTGCGGAACACTAAATTCGTTGACCAACAGGGCGCCACAGGCATTTTTTAAAAATTTGTTGCGTCTGTATAGAACTAGCTCTTGAAGGGGCGTTGAGCGCATTATTACAATTGCTGGAGTAATCCTCAGTTATTAAGTGCCCTCTAGGGGCCGCTGGATGAAGTCACGTCAGTCACAGTCAAGTCAAGGAACAGGTAGCGTTTTCGCTCCCCCGTTTCGTCATCCACTCGCCGGCCAGAATTGGAAAGGGATATTGGATAGGGGTAAGGTTTAGGACGTTTTACAGGGGTCGGACTAGTCCCAGTGAAGCAGGCAAACTCGTTTTGTCGTAAGAAAATTTCACACGAGTTTCCACGGGAATCCAACCCGGAACCTCAGTGGTGAAAAGCAAGCGACTTTCACCCTGAGCCACGAGAGCATCAACATCCACCATTTAACCCTGAGCTGCGCTACTGCATAATACATATACCAAAGAATACTATTTCTAGAGTCACCCCCTACGTATCTCTTACTGCACATGCCAGTGAAGCCGCCACAATTACGTGCGCCACCATTTTGGTATTACCTTCCTAACACACTATGGGCCGGTAATACATAGTAGTTTTATTTCGTAAGATAGAAACTGTCTGATGTTTTGAGACAATTGACTGCAAGGAGCACAATAAATAAAGCTTATTGCAATAGAAATGCAAGCAATATTGTACTAATACACTTAAAAAATCAATCGAAAAAAATATCTGTGACTATATGTCTTGTTATATTTAAGCAATAAAATACAGAATAGATTGCTTGAGAATAGTGCCACTATTCACAATTACTACATACATTTTATTTTCTGCATTTAGGTTTATTGTACAGATAGTTCTAATTTTATCTCTAGTTTAAAGGAGTTGAAATGATTTGCCAAATCATTTTTCAAACGTAAAATTTATGGGCACATTTGCCCTTAAAATGCAGCTATTTTGATCATATTGTATTAAAGTAATAAAAAATGGAATTTGCAACATTAATCTACAAAGTACCCTGCTTCAAGGCGAAGCCACAGTATACTTATTTATACAGTAGCGCAGCTCAGCTCCTTTTTTGGCTCCTTAGGGTTGCGCATGCATAAGCTAGCGATGAAAGGTCAAATAAAACTACGGATAGATGCTAGATAGTATACAGATTTCTTTGTGAAATTTGTTTATTAAGAGATGGTTGCGTCTAAATTGGTTAAAAATTTAAAAAGGGATTCGTAGTGTTATATCCCTATGATTTCAAGGGCAAGTCATTAAATAACACGTAAAATTACATTGACCCAATGGTTTAACCTTATATTTGACATGTAGTGTAACATATTTGATATGCACCAAATGAATACTTTTCCAGCTAACACATTAATAATAATGCGGTGATTAATAATTAAAACATTTCTTCCCTAAAAAATTGTTCAAAACGTATACTTCACAAGTTGTTTTAGTTATATAGTACATAAGAAAATTAAAATACATATAAAACATTTATTTTTTGGTTAGATTTAGCAGAACGATGATGTATTACGAATTGTAAGGTAGCGATGTACCTCCGCGCGTCAGTAAGGCAGCGACACGTCATTGGGCATGTAACACGGAACTGCGCAACTCTCTAAATACGTATACTGTGGCGAAGCCTCGCCTGCGTCGTCATTGCAGTTCTCCCCGACAGGGAGCAAATGAGAATAAACTAGGCATATCACATTTACTTGTAAAATAGTGCTATCACAATTCATCATTATTTCATTGGCTTGTTTTGTCAGTATAAATAACTACGTCCCTTAATTTGTAAGGTAACAGGTACTTCAATTTATTACTAGCAACAAAATTTTCAAAAATTTATTTTATACTCAGCAGGGATATTTTAAACCCTAAAACGTTTCTATTTGAATAAAGAATGGAATTAAAAATATTTACTGTGACAGAGACCTGGTCAATATATATGGCTTCAGGAATAAATTAATACCAAATGTTTTTATTGGTACTCAGCAATGGAACTATAAATTAGTTTCCAAATACACTGGACGAATTTAAAATATCAAATATTTTATCGAAATATTTCAAAAATTTCAGTTTCTTCACATTCTTCAACTTCTTAATGTGTTCCAATTTCGAGAGGAAATCAGAACAGTGGAAGATAAAATAGAAAATTTCCAAGTCAAAGTCGTGGACAATGTTCGCAGAGTGGACGAAGATACGAGAAAACTACAGCAAAACGGATCAAAGAAGAAATTACGAAAAATAGACGCGAGTACGAAGAGAAAGTTCAGCACTAAAAGCCGATGTTGAACAGATAAAAGAATGCAAAGTATTTACCGATTGCCGCGAGCGGAACGCACCATTTACACCCCGAGGTCATTGAAATTTCGGGAGACGGCAAGGAAAATCCGTGTGCATTTAATGCGGGCAGCAGAACGCACTTGGCAGTGATTAACACATCGAAAGATGCAAGGTCCAAATTTTATATTTAATGTTGGAGGCGGAACGCCGGACGTGGGCAGATACTTCTTGATGTATTTCCGGAATCCTGAAGGAATTTTAAAGACCGATTCTTCGAGCGATATGTGGAACGAAGAAATCCAAATAAATTTCAGATAAATTTGATGAATAGTCATTACAATTATTCCATGGGAAGTTTACGTAATACGCAACGAAAGCGCATCATGGAGTATAAAACATTATCTCCTCTTATGAATGACCAAGAATTATTTGTATATTAACGCGACAGTTTCCCGTCACTGTGGCAGAATTTTACTGCGCAGCGCAAATCATACGGATTTAGAAAGATTTCAAAATGTATTGGGAGGGTATGATCTTACGTTCGCAGGCGTTCCAAAGAATAGAAATTAGGGCAATGTAAATATGTGTAAGAATGAGCAAAGTTAGGGCAAGGGAATGGTGATGGAACAGGCAACCAGTGGAATCGACGCGGAAGAGGTGGAGATAGATGGCCACCAGAACCGAGGAATCAGAGACCAGAATGGAGTGGACCGGATCCAAACGCACGGAGGCAGCTAGAAGTGGAGGGGGGAGCGCACCCGGATCAGTCATCGCGACCCGTACAAGTAGAGGACAGGGAAGTAATTTAAACCAATAGAGTCCGTGGTGAAAGGTGGCCCCCCCCCATCGCGACCCAGGTGACGAAATTTTAAATGGGGTCCCTTTCAACACCATCAGCCAGTGACCACGACGCCCAGCCGTGGCAGAGACGTAAAAGTTCGGAGATTAGAATAAGAAAGTGTCCTACAATCAAGGTAGAATGTGAGGAGTGGAAATAGAGGCGCTAGTAGATAACGGATGCACGATAAACAGTAGTGTCGGAAGAGTTGTATGAAGAACTAATCACGAAAGGGAAAACAGTAATGTGTTTGCCGATGAATCGGCATACGTGATAGGAGCACCAGAAAAAGTCGAGCCCTTATCACGAAACAGATTAATGTTTAGCGCCACGATTGGCAGTCAAATATCACGAAGTGATAGCCTTGGTAGTGAAGAAATTATTATATCGCGATGATTATAGGGACAGGACTTTCTAGTCTAATCAACGAGCGGTTATCGATCCTGCAACGTCAAGTGGTGGAGTTAGGGAGCCAGGCGATAGATTGATCTGGAATGGAGAAAAGAGCATGAAATATGTACGGGAGTATTATCAGAGGAGCTGATAGAAGACAGATTAAAGCAACAGGTGAGCAGATAAGAGGTATTAAACGCACAACAGAAGATGAGTTGTTAAATTTATTAATAGAAAACAAAAAGGGTATTTCAAAGAACTAGTTCCAATTATAGATTTCAGTTCCGCATTCAACTCACTGATTCTATCTTTCAGACAGCGAAACTATCCGATACCGTAGCATTTAAAAAAGGACGTGACAGAATGCTCGCAGCCATGGTGGAAGACCAGCATCATAAAAAAAGGCACAGACATCATACACGACCCCATTGTAATCGTGAAAAGAAGGGATGGTGGACTGCGGTTGTGTTTAGACGCGCGGCGATTGAATGCAGTGACAATACCACATAGGGACGCCCCATTGTCAGTGGAGAACGTTACAGGAGATTTGGAGGAAAGCTTGATTTTTTCAATAAAAAAACCAAGAAATTCTCAGCAAGCATATTGGCAGATGCAAGTGGCGGCAAGAAGAACGAAATGTACACGGTTTTTTCATTTGAAGGAATTTGCTAGCGTCTTTCTGTAGAGTCGCGTTTTGGACTAAGAATTAGGGGAGCAGCATTGATCGGTGCGTGGATCGAATACTAC